ATTTAAATAAAATTTTTCATTGATTTTCAATTCTATTTAATTAATTTAGAAGTCAATAGCAAGGTTTGTCAAGACAAACTTTATTAAATGATAGCAAAGAAAATGGTTTATAGGCCTTACAGACAGATACTGTAGGTACTATGGTGTTTTACGAAGAAGAAAAATCAAAAAGAGAAATTGCTGATGGTCATGACTGTGGGCACAATGTTTATACACTCACTAGTTTTTAGGAATCCTTTGCTCTGGGAATTTGTTTTGGGTTGGAAGCCTGTGCCCTCAAAATAATCCAATCATAATGCAAACATGAACCCATGACCTGAAGCACTGGAATAGAAGAGCTGAGTAGGCAGAATGTGAATTTGTCAACAGGCCAGCAATGTGGAATTTTACGTTTGGAATTGATATATTCACCACTAGAGGGAAGTACTTTCCATATGAGCTGGAACTGCACTGCTGGAACTGTCATAGCCCTGGCTTGTTTACATCAGTCCTGCAGTAGAGAAACCATTGAAAGGACAGTGCCCATCTTATCCCTCTTATCACCATCCTTCAGAACGACAACATCAGTGCTACCAATGGCTTGACACTTCATATCTCATCAAACAGAATTACATGCATGAAAATGAGGCACTAAGAAACAGTTCAACACTCATCACTCATGTGTGTGATTGTGCAGTTATGTAGATGTGTGTGTGCACAAGAGGTAGAGGGAATAAGTGAACCGTGAACCGAACTAGAGAGGGTGTGCTGAGCTGGGAAATGGTAAACAAGTGACTTCAGCATTTGTGGTGAGGAGTCCATTTTCAAGTGGAACCGAACTGTGTGTGTGTGTGTGTGTGTGTTTTGTGCAGAGGGTTTAGAGGAGGGTTAGTGCATGGAAAATGCTCTGTTGTCTGGGAAACTTTAGGTCAGCTGATATCACAAAATCACTAATGGTCCTCTCTCTCTCTCACTTTTATCCACACACATGCATACGTACATATTCCCAGCTGTGAGGCTATTGCTGTTTTAATCTTCATAGGATTACTCACTGCACTGCACACCAAATGACTTCTGCATCACTGAACCACAACCTACAATGCTTCACATAAGTCACAGAGGCCAGGGGGTGCGTGGTATGAGGTTCCATTTGTGTCAAAAATGAGTCGACTGCTTTGTGTTAGGACGACAGAACAAGATGACAGTTAGGACGACAGTTAGGATGACAGAATAAGATGACATTTAGGACGACAGAACAAGATGACAGTTAGGACGACAGTTAGGATGACAGAATAAGATGACAGTTAGGACGACAGAACAAGATGACAGTTAGGACGACAGTTAGGATGACAGAATAAGATGACATTTAGGACGACAGAACAAGATGACAGTTAGGACGACACTTAGGACAACAGAACAAGATGACAGAACAAAACGACAATAAGGACGACAGTAATTAAACAACAGAGAAAAAGCAAGCAGGACGACAGATTAAGATGACGTCAACAGACAACATACACGCCTACATATACTGATTTACCTGAACAAGTAGGCAATGACTGTAGACAAAGACAAATGTATAGTACAAAGCACAAAGCAGTCGACTCATTTTTGACACAAATGGAACCTCATACGTGGCATCACCATGACCATGCAAAAAAAAAAAAAAGGCTGTCCAGAAATTACTATACTGATGTCTCTAACCTGCAATAAGGGAGAAAAGTTTACTTGACATAATCATTTTAATGTTCTTGATATCTGTTTTCTTCTGTGTCTCTCTCCCTCCCACTAAAATCCCACAATGATGTTGTTGTGGACTTATCTACTGTTTGTACACAGGGTAGGACCAAGCAACTTCACTTCATCTCTTTTTTTAACTAGGACGAAACAAAATAAAACTCTGGAAAATACCCATATGGAAATGTAATATATGACATATATTGCCAGATAGCAAGAGTGATGTTGTCATATATGTTACCTATAAGGCTAAGATATAAGTTTATAACATAAAATTCCATTAGTAAAATTTGTGCATTTGTACTGCATGTTAATAATATATATTATGATTTTTATATAACCATTTGTCAACAATATCCTATTGTAACACCGTTCGTAGTTCGGGAAGAAGGAGGCGGGAACCGGCGAACATTGAAAGAAAACTTTAATAATAAAATAAACACAAAACAGCGCGACAGCCCCTCGCGGACGACTGTCGCGCACAAACAAAACCAAAACACAAAATAAAGTCCAGGCCTGGTCCTCTCTCGTCTTTCACTGTCGTCACTCCTCCTTTTTATCCTTCCGGAGCTCCTCCGTGAGACTCGAGACCGGGGAGTGGTGCAGGTGTCGCTCATTATCAATTACTCCACCGGCCTCGCTCCGTTCCCCCGGCTCTCGGCCCCGCCCAATATTTTTTTTATATATGCAACTTTATTACAGTTTTTTTCAACTGCTTACACACAAAATCTTTACTTGTCACACAATTTCTGAAACCTGACACTCAAACACCAGAAGCACACACCAAATCTGCAAAACCATACTAATTCTCGGCCTTTGACTCAGTTTTTAATTTCATAAAACACTTTTTGCAAAACACAACACACAATATTCTATGTAACACACAAAAATCTAACAGGAATTAATATTATGGCAAAGGTGTTTGCAAATGTTTGCTTTTGAGATGTGTTTGTGATATTTCTTGTAATATTTTGAATGCAGTGCTTCATTTTGCAAGAGATGTGAGGCATTTTGCATTTTGTGTGTGCAATTCTTGGATCTGTGTGTAAAGTTTTCAAAAAAAGAGGCAAAGTTTTGAAAATCTGTGTAAGCAGTTGGGAAAAAACTGTAAAAGCATTTTTTCAATACAGTGAAAGCCTCTGGCAAATAATTTTCAATGGAGGTAATAATGTCATACAGTTTTGGAATGACATGAGGATAAGTAAATGATGACAGAATTTTATTTTTGGATGTATCCCTTTAAACACTGGGCATTGCTATATATGTTACAGAGTGATTATACAGTGGCCAAAGTTGCTTGACCTTTTCCCCCAAATTTAGAATGACCCACACCTGCTCTCAAAAACACCTCAGGATAGTTTGCAAGTTCGGTTTGTGTGTGTGTGTGTGTGTGTGTGTGTGTGTGTGTGTGTGTGTGTCTTTGTCTCAGGTTTTTATAGGGAAAAAAGGCTACCGAACAAAAAAAAACGATGAGATCAAACAGTATGTAAAAAAACATTTTTCTGTATCAAACTGTCCAACAGGGACAAATAAAGTTTCTGAGGAAGGTATGCGTCTTGTTTGCCTCCCTAGAACTCTTTTTCCCCTTTTTTTTATCCAAACAACAGTTAACAGAAACAAATGCTTGTTACTGCATTTAGGTAAAGAACCATACAGCATAAGAAAAACTTTCATGTTCCTTGGTTGTCATACATTTAATAGTATTTTACTATATTTTGGTAGTATAACATAAACAAAATAAACAACAATCAATATCAAATGGATTTTTTTTTTTATCAACCCAAACCCCAACTTAGAGCAAAATAAATGAAAAAGAAAAACACTTTGTTGATCTATTAAACCATGAGATGGCAGACATACAGATCTGCAACATAGCGTTGCATGTATTGTGGAACCGTCCTAATGTTTTGAAGTTTGAATTAAATAAGGGCATGCAGCTGATTCAGTTCAGAACATGTCAGAAAACATTTCTGTTCTCCCGGTACATCTTTCTCCCGCATCAGCACTTCCTGTGCCCTCTGCTATCCCATTGCTACATGATTGATTAGCCAGATACAAAACACACAAACCAGTCAGACCTTATCTGGTTGGCATGAAAGTGTAACAGCAAGGGCTGTAGTGGTGATTGCCGTTGATTACAGTAAGGAAAGCTATTACTGGTCAGAGGCACATGATTTCTCCATCACCTGTCTGTCTGTTCAGAGAGACCCAATTCTAAGCTCCACTTAAGCAGTGGATGTACCTCATACAAACAAACTACAGTTTCTAAATGTTTATGTATAAAAAAAAACAGAAAATGTCATCAGATTTTATTATTTATGTCATATTTAAAGGATGTTTTAAAGGACTGCTTTTAATAATCTAGTCCATTATTTTATTATGATATTGAATATGCAACATCTGGAAATGACATGAGAACCTGAGAAACATTTACTGAACCTGTGGAAGAATTTGAACCCCATTGAGCAGCTTTGGGTGAATTGGAGCACAGCCTGCAAGCCAGGCTCCATCACTCTACATCAGTCCCTGACCTCACTGATGCTGTTGTGTCTGAATGCAAGCAAATCCCTGCAGCCATATTCCAATATCTACTGGAAAGCCGTGCCAGAAGAGTGAAAGCTGTTGTAGCAGAAAAAGAAACACCAACGCCCTATTAATAACAACACTCTAAAAAATCATTTTGTTTTTACACACACACAAAAAAAAAGAAAACAAAAAGGGAAAAAGAAACTGACAGCTGTAGTTGCCAGAAAGAAAATAGTAAAAATACTGCAAAAATGTAAGAAACTTTGCAGAAAAACCTAAATTGTAGTTTAAACGAATTTACAAAAAAGTAGCTACTGCAAATCCAGTCCTTTTTCAGTTGAATTACAGTAATATGACCATGCGGCAACTAAAATCTGTTTTGCATCTTTAACATACACTAACCTCCATAATAACACAGATAGTAAAAGATAAAGCCACATGAAGAATCAAAGTTTATCACGAGACGTTCCACAAGTGCACTTTGTCATACACACAAATACAAACAAAACCAAGGTAATGTAAAAATAATGCTATAAAACACAATTAACCAACATAAGATGTAACATACTGTAAAACCCTAATGTTTAACAAAAACCAATAAGAAATACAATTATTTAAATGAAATACAACCAAATATGAAGTATTACACAGGGAATTCTGAGAATACCAATTTGTTTCTTTTTTTCACTGTAAATTATTTGATGACTTGTACAACTAAAAACTGTATTTAACAGTATTTTATTGTAAAATCAAATAAAAAAGTCATGTTACATCTAGTATAGCTTTTTTATTACAGTTACAGTATAGTGTGGACTGTGGAACTTACCTTTAACCAAGAAATATTATATTATATTATATTATATTATATTATATTATATTATATTATATTATATTATATTATATTATATTATATTATATTATATTATATTCTTCAGGTGTGTTTAATTGGGGTTGGAGCTAAACTCTGCAGGACACCGGCCCTCCAGGACCGAGCTTGGGCACCCCTGTGTTAAAGGGTCAAGTTTTTAAAATAATTTAAAAAAACAAGTAGATAGAATAAAAATACAATAGAGAGTGCAAGTGTTAGAGGGTCAAGTGTAGATGGTTTAGCCATTTCTTGAAGATGGCTAAGGACTTAGCTGCTTAGATTGAGTTGGGCAGGTCCCTCCACCAGGAGGTAACAGTTAAGGTAAAAGTCTATTATATTATATTATATTATATTATATTATATTATATTATATTATATTATATTATATTATTTACATTTAGTCATTTAGCAGATGCTTTTATCCAAAGCAACTGACAACTGAGGAAATTAGAAGCAATCAAAACCAACAAAAGAGCCATAATATGTAAGTGCTATGGCACGTCTCAGTTAGTCAAACGCAGTACACGTAGCAAGGTTTCTTTTTATAATAAACAAAAAGAAAACAAGTAGAAAGAATAGAAAAAGAATATGGAATGCTATTGTTAGAGGGTCATTTTAAAATTAAAATAAAACAAGTAAATAGAACAGAAAAAGAATAGATAATGCAAGTGTTAGAAGGTCATTATTTATAATAAATAAAAAGAAAATAAGT